TTTTTATTTCCCAAAATATGAAGTGTGGCGCGCAGTGTTGCTGTATCAATACAGCAAGCCGTATCGGTGTCGCTGTGTGAACACCTGAAAATCCACTGTGTTACCAAGGCCTAGATCCTAGATACTATCAAGTAACTTTGTAAGAGAAACAAAGCCAATAAATGCGATTAAATTAATCAACTTGTCCGCAATAGAAACATTGCGCGGTTTGAGCCTCGCCACCTTTCCTACCATTTGTAAATGTCTATCAAATATTCTTTCGCTTATCTTGTCTTGTCATAAGTACATTCATCATCATTCACGTTGTAGCGGCATTGTTTTACAAAGTAGCTACATTCGAGCCAGACTTTCCCTTTAAAGAGCCAAAACCGTCACGAACTGAGAGCCGATTTGTGTTTGATCATTTYACAGCCCTTTCGCAGCAGCTAATGAGCCCTTTTTGCATCTCGTAGACAAAATAACTCGTTTTACGAGGCACTTTAGAAGGGTTTAATAGCTAATAATCTACTAGTTTAGTGAACGGTTTTCATGGAAATTGCGTTTTTTCGTTCACTCAAATGAAGCTTGTACTTGATTTATTTCCAACAAATTTTGAGTTAAATTAGAGGAWATTGACGCCACTTTTCGGAGAGGAAATGAGCTCGTAAAGCCCAAAAGCATTGATCGTTAATATTTTATTTGACTATAAATTAAATTGAAGTGCCGTTATCAATTTTTATCGCTCTAGATGGGTATTTTGTCACCAATTTTCTAGGAGTTTGAAACGGGAAAAGCTCAGATACCGTAGAAACAGCCCCGTTTGTTCCTGTAGGTATATAAAAATCAATAATCCTCAATGTAGGACAGCAATAAAGGGGAAAGTTCTGGAAGAGATCAACGGCCCAAAAGGCACACTGACAATACAAATTACTGATATCGTTCCGAGCCAAAGTTTCCAGAGGGTGGAAAAACATACCCTGGCTAATCCGAAAGGCTTATTCGCATTGTTCTACAAATCCACTGTGCAAATCCGGGTAAAAATATCCACGCAACCCTCGGTAAATAACTCATGTAGGTCTATGCCCTTTTTCCAAGGAGTGTTTCGTATGGGGGAGGGTGTTAATGTGGGAGACGTGGCGTGCTAAATTGTCGTTCGCGTATATGCACTTGAAAAACTGAAAATTCTCTTGTAGATCGCCAATCTATGTTAATTAGGAGCGATTTGCTGCGGAAAAATGGTTGGCGATTAGTTGGGCAGGATAGGAACTGTCGTGAAACGTTCTGCTTGTCGAGCTGCATAATTAAAGAGCGAAGAACTCAGTATTGGGACGGAAACTTCGATATTTGATTACGCCCAATAATGGGTAAACATTCTATATTTTTTATGACAGCTCGTAAAGCGCAGCCAGTAAGAATGTCTAGTGTTAACATTACTTAAGTGCCTCAAAGTCGTCAGTTATTGCTAGTGCCACACTCTGTTGATGCACGCAAAAATAAACAAAACCAGGACGTTTATTTGTTGAAAGCTCTATGGTTTGAGAGGCGGTTTTATTGGTTTTTTTTTGTATTCAAGTCCATTTTTTTTTAAATCTCCGGCAAAATGGTTCGAGCAATCTAGAGTCTAGTTGCTCAACACCCGGTAAAGTGTCTTATCTTAGAAGTTTATTAATATACACATCTAAGTATAAGGGTTTTTTTAGCGTGGTTAAAAGGGCAGGGTGCTGTCTGGAACATCTGCTCAAATCGGCGATTTATCGGTTCAGTTGGAGTTTTAAATTTCGAATTTCGCCCAAGAAAGCTTTCTTTTATGTCTTGTATTAATAAATTTATAATTGCCGAACGTCCGGCTTTCATTAAGCTTGAACAAATTCTAATCGAAGCTGAGTAATAAAACTGCTGGTAATGTGTGAGTGTTTTATTAATCACTATGGGCGTTTATATGGTTAGTTAATTAAAAGAATGTGCCCCGGAACTTGAATACACTTGCGAAAGCTGCTCTGTATGCGTGTAGACTGTGAATGAATGTGGTGGGATGTCAACAATACCAACTATTGATCCATTTTAACCTTTGGGACATGCAGGAAACACGCATTTTTCGCGGGAGTTTGAGGAATTTAACAGTTTAAGTTTGGGACAGAATTGCCTGATTTTTCCGGTTTTCAATTTAACTTCCAGAAAAGTTGTCGGCTGCCCATAAAATTTTCATGGAAAACATGGTTTTCAATGTATATTTTAATGATGTGGTTTGGACAAATCATGCGTCCCTTCAAGGAAAATCGATGTTTCAATATAGCAGTTTTCCCCACTAGCTGGATGAAAATGATTGGCAGCTGGTTTGGAAAATTACAATGAAAGTTTAATTGAAAACGCTCGAGGACTTTTTGTTAGTTTTGATTTGCAATATCGATTCGATTCGACAAATGGAAAGCCATCGGCGGTTCCCACGCACGGATTTAGCCGGAAAATCAAAATAGTCTAGAAAGAAGCTAAACAGTCCGGTCGTTTAATTGGCAAATTTATGAATTTCACAGGTTGTCTACGCCTTGTCCTTGCGTTTGTTATTAACAGAGTTTTTAATTAATTAATGTTTATTTTGGTAGTTTCTTCTGTCAAGGAACTATCTAACCACTGAGACGATTGACTACCAGCCTGATAAAAGCGTGAAATTTACATGTTAATGGAAATTATTATGAAACTGGCGGTTTAATCAGGTAATGAGTTTCGCGCCCTGAATTATCGCATGTTTTTCCGTGAAAAAACGAATGTGATCCCTTAATAGCAATCGTCGCCTCCCTAGCTGACAACCGGCATAAAACCTCAGGTTTGTTAGTGCTCCTAAAAAGGTCAAAGAATCGGATTATATCGAATGCGATATCCTTTAAACTGCTTAGACAGGCTTTCAAAAAGAGAAAGATACAAGGGCGAAGCCCCCAACATCTGGCAGATCGTTTTTCTTGAAATTGTGCTGGCGGAACGACTCAAATTTACTTTTTGCTTATGTTGTCTTTCTTCTTAAAATTGTTCTGTTGTCGTAGAAAGAAGCGCTGCTGGTCTTCCAATTTAAATATTTATTGATAACCAGTTAATTTCCCTCAAATATTCAATCAATCGATTTTTTGTCAAGGTTTGGTTGCTTTATTGTTTCCTGCAATTAAATGTCCCTTTTTATATTTTCTGATATTTCTGGTGCTGTTTACTCAGCCTTCCTTTACGGTTCGCTGATAGAATTATGGGCCACATCTGGAGCTTTCCTCTCGGCGACTAAATTTTAAGCATTTCAGAGAATTTGGTGATTATTAAAAGTTTTGAATCCGATTGTATTCGATTTATTGTCACTGGATTTGCGATTGTTATTTATACTGTATTAGTCATACTTGTATAAACATTGTGCGGATTATTTAAATTATGCACTCAGGGAGTGGATCGTTTAATCAGTTGCGATGGTCGATTAATTCAAAGGTTGCCGATTTTTTACGTTTGTTTATATGCACTAAAATAATTGCGTCATGCTTCGAGCATCTAAAAACATTAGCTGGAAGCGCATTTGATGGGTACTTTGGACTGGTAAAGCAACAGTTTTGCTTGTTAATTAAACACCTTTAATTGGTCCTTTGATATTCCGTGCGGGCAGAAATGTGAAGCTGTTAGTTCAGTGCAGCAGTAAATTTGTTTGGTAAAAGGAGCCAACCCCAGTGCTTATCCGATTAACTGCAACAATTTTCTAATCAATGAATTGGATTAAATGAGCTTGGCAAATATGGTTGCCATCATAAATTGTTTCTGCAACGTTCTTAAGATTAGAGCATCTGTGGGAGTTTGAGTTCTGATCAATCACACTTAGCCTGCATTTACGATACTGTTTAAACTTCGAAAGTTCCCCAATATGTGTCTATGAATAGATGGAAACTTATGAAATATTATATTAATATTCATTTGAATGAAAGGAACCGTTTGAGGCCCCGTTTTTCTTCAAACTATTGTAGCGTTTAAGTGGAGCAAGAAAACTGCTTAAACTGCAAAATTGCTTTTATCTTTTAACCCTTTGATGCCAAAGAAGAATGCAAATTTCCACGTTCTTTTTTGTTAAATAGTTATCTTTCAAACTGGTTTGATAAGATGCGATGTTGAGTTTTAATTATAGAATTTCGATGTTATCACAGCGAGTTTTTTTGATAAGAACAATTTTGCGAGAAATATTTACTGGCGTAAATACCTACAAGTTCCGAAAAAAAATTGAACTAATAGCGAACGTGGTTGCCGTTCTCTAGAAATTTTTGGGACAAAATAAATTTTAACTGCAACAAATAAAAGCGAACACTCATTGTTAAAGGAAAAACTGTAGAAATTTGTTGCATAGTTGTTGCACTCTTACTTAATTTTTAGGGTTCCATAGTTCTTACCAATTTTGTTGTTGCCTTAAAAAACTTTCATTGTGGCCGGCAATTGCTCTATAAAACACTTTTTAGTCGCAAACGCGCTATAATTTGAAGCAATTTAGGCAGTTTCTTTAACATTTAAATTTCTGAAGCAAATTTCTCTTCGAACAAGAATGCCAAACAAGCATTAGGATCTTTAATGATATGCTGTTAATAACCGTTTAATGATGAATGCTTCGAATGACCCAAACCGTTTGATAAATTAGGTATTTAACTACTATGTCCCTGCCTAATTTTGTTATCAATTAGTTGGTTTGTAACACGTGCATTTTTTGCTGGTCATACCACATTGTCAAGTTACTGTTTTGTTTGGTCTCACTTTGAACTCGCTGGTGAAGAGAAGTTTTTTCTGAAACTGCTATAGAATACGATCGCTGTTTTAGCAACTAGGACCAGGTATAACATCCGACAACACTGGTTGATTGTTTAGAATAACTTACCAGTACAAGAGCACCCAAAGTTGTTCTTAAATAGTCAACAAATTGAGAAACTCGCTTTTGTCCAGTTGGGAAAAGGTTATCAGTATTGTTTTAATCGCCTTGTTCATGTTCAGTGTAAATTGTTGCTTGTTGAATGAAGATGATGTACGGTTTATTAAAATGCGTGTTTTTCTGTGCTGTTTTGTTAAATCTCATCAGTTATAGCTTGAAAATGATGCTTCGGAATGATCGACTTCCCCAGTTGGTTGAAGCGAAGGAAAGAAGACTTTGTTAGTTGTTTGTTGTGAGTTTCTAGGAGTTTCTAATTTTTAAATAACAAACGTTTAAAAATCGCGTTTGATTCTCCAAGTTCTGGATTAATCACTATTGCCTGCAAACATACGCCGAGGGTTTTCCAGGTGCAAAGGGTGCAGAAGTAGGCCGATCGACCCCGCACGCTCTAAACGACGTTAATTGACTTTTATACTGTTACCCTGCTTTCCTCATTCAATATCGGCCTTTATTGACTGATGAGTCACGATAATGACTCCAGGAAACATCCCGTCACCGACTGATTTCCTGTTTTTTCCCAGCGACTGATTTAACGCCGCATGGCTTTATTGGATTGAACTGGGAACAGCTTCACCATTTTCTTTTTATTTGTTATTTTATTTGTTGAAAACATCGGTTTGTTTCAGATTTTCCAGCTTTGCTTCCGTCTGCTCTTACCAAAGACCATAGTAGAAAGGATGGTTTAAGCGGCGCGGGTCGCAAGCCGCCCCTTTGGGCCGCCCTTTAGTGATGGGGGCCCGTGCCGACGACCCTTACCGCCCTCAGAGGTTGGCCGAATGGTTGCATCGATTGCCCCACGTTAATGCCTCCTTCAAAGAAGTGGACAGCACCTTTGATCCGGATTCTGCTGTTTATTTAGAGGTAAACCTGGATGGAGTTTCGCAAATTCCGCTAACTTTAGTGCTAAAAGCGCGCGACTCAAATTGGATTTTTCGGTTTACATCCGGAAATTTCGGCTACAAAGTGGATAAGGAAATTGATTTTCTTGGGCTTGTTTTGTCAGTTTTGTTGTGGATGTTGGACTTGAAAAATCAACTATTTTTCAATGTTCTGCAGCGAAATCCCGCAGCATAAACAATTGATTTTCAACGCTCCGCCGCCTCAATCATAAGACACATCCAATCTTGAAAATTGATAATTGTTAAATTTACTGTTTAAACTTCGAAAGTTCCCCAATATGTGTCTATGAATAGATGCAAACTTATGAAATATTATATTAATATTCATTTGAATGAAAGGAACCGTTTGAGGCCCCGTTTTTCTTCAAACTATTGTAGCGTTTAAGTGGAGCAAGAAAACTGCTTAAACTGCAAAATT